GGAAAACGCTTTCTAAGGAGCGTTTAAAATCTCCAGGCTGCTCCCTTAATCATTCAATAGCAAGACCAACGAAACAATCAACCCCGAGACTATGGAACTTGATGACAAATCCTTCTCCTGCTAAAAATTATGAATCTTAGTTATAATGCCATTGCGCCCTGTGATGTGCTGAAGACAGACTAACCTTTCAACAGGAAATTGAAAATGGGCCCCCTCGTTCTGAGTAATGGTCCATTTAACTGACACGAGGAAGCAGCCGAGGTCGTGTGGGTCATCTGTAATTCTGAGAAGAGCCATGCTAGTGTGGCCCAGACTGATGAATACCACGAAAATTTCTGATAAAAGGCTTGAAGATGTTTCTTTTCAATAGAACTTAGTACTGATATAGAGTGTATGGTAGACGCCTTGCCTCAAGTCTTTTTTGTTTCATTTTGTTTCAGTTCTGGGACACGTGTGCAGGATGTGCAGGTTTGTTACATGGCTAAACATGTGCCACGGTGCTTTGCTCATTTATCAGCCCGTCACCTAGGTATTAAGCCCAGGATGCATTAGCTGTTCTTCCTGACGCTATCCCGATGCCCCCAGCCCGACCCTCCCCAACAGGCCCCAGTGTGCGTTGCTGCCCTCCCTATGTCCATGTGTTCTCATTGTTTAACTTCCACTTATAAGTGAGAACATGTGATGTTTGGTTTTCTGTTCTTGTGCTAGTTCACTGAGGATAAAGGCTTCCAGTTCCATCCAAGTCCCTGCAAAGGACATGATCTTGTTCCTTTTCATGGCTGCATAATATTCCATGGTACATATGTAGCACATTTTCTTTACCTAGTCTATCACTGATGGGCATTTGGGTTGATTCCATATCTCTGCTTTTGTGAACAGTGCTGCAACGTACATACGCGTCCATGTATCTTCATAACAGAACGATTCATATTCCTTTGGGAAATACCCAGTAATGGTATTGCTGGGTCAAACGGTATCTTTGTAGAATTGTGACACTGTTTTCCAAACTTACATTCCCACCAACAGGGTAAAGTGTTCTTATTTCTCCACAAGCTCAGCAGCATCTGTTGTTTCCTGACTTCTTAATAAATGCCATTCTGAATGACAAGCAATGTTATTACACTGTGGTTTCCATTTGCGGTTCTCTAAGGATCAGTGGATGCTGAACTTTTGTTCATATGTTTTTTAGCTAATGTATGTCTTCTGTTTCAAGGCTTTAGCATGTAAACAGAGTTGGGGTGTCTTTCTGTTGGCAGAGGGCAGAGAATTGATTTTGTAACTTCAGTCTCTTCTTAGAAGTTTGCAGGAGGAGGCCAGGCACGGTGGCTCAAGCCTGTAATCCCAGCACTTTTGGAGGCTGAGGAAGGCAGACTACTTGAGGTCAGGACTTCAAGACCAGCCTAGCCAACATGGTGAAACCTCATTTCTCCAAAAATACAGAAAATTAGCCAGGCGTGGTGGTGTGCACCTGTAATCCTAGCTACTCGGGAGGCCAAGGCAGGAGAATTGCTTAAACCAGGAGATGGAGGTTCAATGTAATAAGATTTTACAGAAATTGACAAGTTGAGCCCCAAATTTAAATTGATATTCAAAAAAACGAGAATAGCTAAAATATATCTGAAAGAAAGTTATTGACTAACACTACTTGGTTTCTAGACTTACTATAAACCTACAGCAACAAGACAGCATGGTACTGGAATAAAGATAGACATAGATAATGAAAGGCTAGGCACAGTGGCTCAAGCCTGTAATCCCAGCACTTTGGGAGGCTGAGGCGGGTGGATCACTAGGTCAAGAGATCCAGACCATCCTGGTCAACATGGTGAAACCCCGTCTCTACTAAAAATACAAAAAAATCAGCTGGGCATGGTGGTGCGTGCCTGTAATCCCAGCTACTCAGGAGGCTGAGGCAGGAGAATTGCTTGAACCCAGGAGGCGGAGGTTGCGGTGAGCCAAGATCATGCCATTGCACTCCAGCCTGGGTAACAAGAGTGAAACTCCATCTCAAAAAAAAAAAAACATAGATAATAAAACACCACATATAGTCAACTGACTTTCAACAAAGGCACCAGAGCAATTCCATGGGCAAAGAAAAACATTTCCAATAAATGACGCCGGAACCATCTGGATATTGTTAAGAAAAACAAAACAAAACCAATTTCGATCCCTACCTCATACCACACACAAAAAGTAATTTTACATGGATTTATAACTGTAAATGAAAGAGCTACAGCACCAAAACTTCTAAAGACATTAAAAGAAAAAGAAAGAAAGAAAGGGAAGAAAGAGGAAGGAAGGAAGGAAGGAAGGAAGGAAGGAAGGAAGGAAGGAAGGAAGGAAGGAAGGAAGGAAGGAAGGAAGGAAGGGCGGGCGTGGTGGCTCACGCCTGTAATCCCAGCACTTTGGGAGGCCGAGGTGGGTGGATCACGAGCTCAAGAGATCGAGACCATCCTGGTCAACATGTTGAAACCCTGTCTCTACTAAAAATACAAAAATTAGCTGGGCATGGTGGCGCGTGCCTGTAATCCCAGCTACTCAGGAGGCTGAGGCAGGAGAATTGCCTGAACCCAGGAGGCGGAGGTTGCGGTGAGCCGAGATCGCGCCATTGCACTCCAGCCTGGGTAACAAGAGCAAAACTCCGCCTCAAAAAAAAAAAAAAAAAAAAGAAAGAAAGAAAGAAAGAAAGAAAGAAAGAAAGAGAGAGAAAGAAAAACATCGTTGTGACCACAGGGTAGGTAAAGATTTTGTAGACAGGACTCAAAAGCACAACCATCAAAGAAAAAATTTGATAAACTAGACTTCAATAAACTTTAAACCTCTTCTGCTCTTCAAAGGACGTGTGGTTAAGCAAATGAAAATATAAATGAGAGAATGGGAAAAAATATTAATGATATATTTATCTGACAAAAGGCATGTACCTGGAATATAAGGAAGTTCTACCAACCATGATTAAAAGACACACACAATTGGCTAGACACTCACAAAACAAGATACATGAATGGGCAACGTGCATATAAAAAGATGCTGAACAAAATTAATCACCATGGAAATGAAACGCAGAAGAATGACAATGAGACACCATTTCATTATCTCCCTAGAAAAATTAAAATTAAAGACTGTTGGCCAGGAGCAGTGGCTCACGCCTGCAGTCCAGCACTTTGGGAAGCCGAGGCAGGCAGATCACCTGAGGTCAGGAGTTTGATACCAGCCTGGCCAACATGGTGAAACCCCATCTCTACTAAAAATACAAAAATTAGCCAGGAGTGGTGATAGGCGCCTGTAATCCCAGCTACTCGGGAGGCTAAGGAAGGAGAATTGCTTGAACTTGGGCGGTGGAAATTGCAGTGAGCTAAGATTGTGCCATTGTACTCCTGCCTGGGTGACAAGAGCAAGACTTCATCTCAAAAAACAAAACAAAAGAAAGAGAAAAAAGAAAAGACTGTCTACTCCTTTGGTGAATGAGAATGCAGAGTAACTGAAGCTCTTGTCAGTTTCTGTGGAAGTGTGAGAGGGTACACCTTGGAGAACTGTTTGGATATTTTGTATAATGTTAATCACATAGTGAAGCTATTTGACTTAGGGCATTTATCCAAGAGAAGTGAAAATGTAGGTCAGCAGAAAGCCTTGCACAATGCTCACAGTAAATTTATTCGTAATGGTTAAAAACGGAAAACAATCACACCTGTAATCCCAGCACTTTGGGAGACTGAGGCGGGTGGATCATGAGATCAAGAGATCGAGACCATCCTGGCCAACATGGTGAAACCCCGTCTCTATCAAAAACACAAAAAAATGAGCCGGGCATGGTGGCACGTGCCTGTGGTCCCAGCTACTCGGGAGGCTGAGGCGGAAGAGTCGCTTGATCCCAGGAGGTGGAGGTTGCAGTGAGCCAAGATTGAGCCACTGCACTCCAGCCTGGTGACAGAGCAAGACAAGCAACACTCCATCTCAAAAAAAAAAAAAAGGAAAACAAGCCAAAAGTTCATCAATAGAAGAAGAGATAAATAATTTGTGATCTCTGGAATGGAATACTCCACTTAAGTGAAGTTCAATAACAGATAAAACTAATGTAAGATAAGGAAAACTAGACTCGGAGTCACCTATAAACAGACAGGAATTAAATATGGAAGAGGGCCTGAGAGAACCTTCTTGTCTGGTGGAGATGCTATCTTGATCAGGGCATTTGTCAAACATTTACCTAATTTTATGTGTGAGAACTCTGCATTTCACTACATAAGAGCTTCAGAATTCCTTTTTGTAAAAAGGATGAGTTCACGCTATTCCACTGACAAAATGAGCAAAGAAGGAAGCTTACAGTGGTAAGTGAAGCTTGATTTCATTTTTGTCTTTTAAAAATCATTATTTACATATAAAATTGTTGAGGAAGATCGTATCACACATTAATAGCAGTTCCTTTTGGGTGCTGAAATTTCAAATGATTTAGATTTTTGTTGCATTTTTTTGGCTGGGCGTGGTGGCATATGCCTGCAGTCCCAGCTACTTGGGAGGCTGAGGCAAGAGAATCGCCTGAACCCGGGAGGCGGAGGCTGCAGTGAGCTAGGTCACACCCATGCTCTCCAGCCTGAGCAGCAGAGCGAGACTCCATCTCAAAAAGAAAAAAATTGTGTTGCATTTTCTGATATTTCCTCATTTTTCTACAATAGTAATTTAATTAAATGTGTAATTAATAAAGTAAAATAAAATGAACGCATGAGGTTGTTGTTCTTATAAAGAACAAATGTCACAGGAAATGGCACTGAAAGTTTGGGAAGCAGGTGCTAAAACAGCAGGGGAAAGGCCGGGAGCCCCTCTCTCCCTGGCCGTCTAGTCCTGCTGTTCCTCAGAAAGATGAAACCACTCATGAAGTTGTGGGCAGAGGAAAATTAACCTTGTTCTTCTCCCTGACAACCACGTTTTCAAAACCACACGAACGTAAGGTGCTCCTGAAACTAACTGCCAAGAAGCACTTCATCGACATCCTCTAAGATTTCATCACTCACCTGAACGCTGAAGAAAGGTATTCCAGTTAAAGGTGGCGTTCGGTGTTGTTGCAATTCCTGGGTCAAAGAAACAAACGAAGGGAAAGTTCACTTTGATGCAACTGCTGAACTACAACCAATGATTTTCTGTTGAAGCTTATTATTATTATTATTATTAATTATTTCTGAAACAGAGGCTTGCTCTGTGGCCCAGGCTGGAGCACAGTGCCATGATCTTGGCTCACTGCAAACTCCTCCTCCCAGGTTGAAGAGACTCTCCTGGCTCGGCCTCTGAAATAGCTGGGATTATAGGTGCCTGCCACCACACCTGGACAAATTTTGTATTTTTAGTAGAGACAAGGTTTTGTCGTGTTGGCCACGCTGGTCTCGAACTCCTGACCTCAAGTGATGGACCCGCCTCAGCCTCCCAAAGTGCTGGGATTACAGGTGTAAGCCACCACACATGGCCCACTTGTGTTGAAGTTTAGTTAACGGAAGCACCTGGTTTTTATAAAGCCACTCCATGCTCTGAGTGCACCACTGAAGTCCCATGAATCTCCCAGCACAGAGGGTTAAACAGAGTCCACGGATTTCACAGGAGAAAAGACCTACCCCTTTCAGCCCAGGATACATGACAGGCCCAAACTGGGTTAGACAAACTGGGAGTTCCTTAAAAATGCCAGGAAGTAACAGGTTTCAAAAACACTGTCAACTAAACAGCCCCGTGTAAAAATTATACCTCCCTTCAAAAGTCCACTCTCAACCCTCACCAACTCATGCCTGACGGTCTGCTGTCTATCACTTCCTCGGAGAGAGAAGCTACATTTAATTTTTGCTGAAAAAAATGAATACTTTGCAATTGAGAAAATCCAGAGGCAACATCTAACAGGTTATTTTGGTAACAGAAGCATTTTGAAATTTCATAAAATGTAAGTAAATCAAGTCATCTAACGGCCTCTCCAACCTGCATAATCATTATTTGCACTTCATGATACTGCCAATGGGTATCTGAGGAGTGCCCCTCCAAGCCAGCCCCAACCCTAACCATGCAGGCACCTTCCACACTCCACCGTAGCCTCAAAGGCCCACTGAGCAGACTGGTTCCTCCAGTTTATCCAGCTGGAAACTGAGTTTCAAACAGGTTAAACAGGCTTCAAAATGCACAGTGTGGAGGTGGTAGACGCCAGTGTGGTGGTGTTCAAACGACACACCGCCTCAGAGCCAGGATTTTTCCTGCTGCACCACCTGAAACGTCACTGAAGCCAGTGCAGCAGGGACACGGTGAGGACAGGGTGGCATGCCTCACTCAGGTACACCTGAGCACCATGGAGTCCTCGGGAGGTGCGAACGCCTGGCCTCGGCGTCTGCACTCCTTCTAACCTGAGCTTGGAGCGAGTGACTTGTTCTTCCCTGGAGCTAGGCCTTCCATTATTTCTATCGTGTAGTACCGTGGTTTGCAAAATGTTTAGACAGGCTGGGCGTGGTGGCACACACCTGGAATCCCAGCACTTTGGGAGGCCATGGCGATTAGATGACCTGAGGTCAGGAGTTTGAGATCAGCCAACATGGTGAAACCCAGTCTCTACTCAAAATACAAAAATTAGCTGGGCGTGGCGGGGGACACCTGCAAAACCAGCTACTCGGGACGCTGAGGCAGGAAAATTGCTTGAACCCAGGAGGCAGAGGTTGCAGTAAACCGAGATCACACCATGGCACTCCAGCGTGGGTGGCAGAATGAGACTCAAATATGCAAAACAACAACAACAACAACAAAAAACTGTGTTTAAACCTTAGAAGGTTTGATGAAGGGCCTCAGATGCCACCGAAGGGGTAGGACTGGGCGGGGAGGAAGGGGGAAGGGGAAGAGCTCCAGGTCCCCTAACTCAACTCCACCGAGACAAAGAAGCTCCGCATTTGTTCCGTTTGTTTTTTCCAAACGTACTGCTGATGAGGTACGTCGTATTTCCACTGGTGGACAATGTTAAGTGATCTGCATTTTACATTGTTATTTTATAATTTCCCCTATTTATCTTTACTCGAATGTGAGAAAATCCTAATAATGTAGCCATTCTCAGCAGATTGCTTGAGCCCAGGAGTTCAAGACCAACCTGGGCAACATGGCGAAACCCCATTTCTACAAGAAATTAAAAAAAAAAAAAAAAAAAAAAAGGCTGAACATGGTGGCCCGTGCCTGTGGTCCCAGCTACTTGGGAGACTGAGGCTGGAGAATCACTTGAACCCAGGAGGCGGAGGTTGCAAAGCTGAGATCGCGCCACTGCACTCCAGCCTGGGTGTCAGGGCCAGACCTTGGCTCAAAAAAATCAAAAATGGACATTTTACTGATTAAGTAAATCTCAGAAATCATATTATCTCCTCCCTAAACATCTCAACATGCGTTTCTAAAGAATGCAAACTTATTCTTTTAAACTTATATATTTGTCACATAGAAACATATTTTTATATATACATTCTCTACCCCTGCACGTAAGTAAAGATTTTAAAACTCTTACCTTGACTCTGGACGTAGATCTTACCCTTAGCATGCGGCTTTTGAAAGGAGGGGAGAAAGAAAAGCACATTAGATAGTCCATGACAAGTGCTTTTTAGAAATCAAATGAAGGTCATTAACAGCAAAAAAAAAAACCCTCCTGGAAAACATCACAGAGAATCATCTACACAGCTGCTCAGACTCATTACTCATTAAGAGCAAAGTGTTACGTCTGCTGTTAATAGGTTTTCCCATTAAAAACACAGCATCCATAAGCTAAGAAGCACATAGAAAAGGTCTCGAATGAGGCCTAATGCAGTTTTGCAATATTTCAGTTGCTAGGTTAGTGGAGAGACGACTGAAGCTCAGCCAGAGAGCATGCCAGCGCCGGCCCGGCCAATGCAGGTCCTGCCTGGCGTGGAGGTGGAAGTGTGGGCAAGCGTGGTATGGGTCATGCAGCCCTGAGGGGAGGAATACTCCCACTACCCCCAGAAAAAATGAAGAAAGGAGCACAAGCAGAAGGAGGAACTGCCAAGATGTTGGGAAACCGAAGACGCCCCAGGAGGCGGATCCTTCCAGTCAAGCCAGGACAGCCGGGAGGGAAGACCCAGTAAGAGCCTCCTCACGAGCATCCCAGGCACTGAGGAAAAGGCGGTGCTTGCATGACTGATTTGTGCATTTGTGCCAAGGTATCAACTTACTATTCCTTGGCGTGTTTTCTGGCAGAATGTCACAAAACTGCTAGAGAGAAACAGAATCCATTTCTCCAGTTCATGTTGAAGCAGTGTCAGAAATATTTTTAAGATGACGTTTACATGCCAGGTGGAAGCAGGAGGAGAGTGAGACCCTCTTCAGAATGGCTGATGGGGCAAGTCAGTGCCACGGGCGGTTTCTCTCAAGGAACTGAAATAGGCAGTCATTTTGGTGAAAACGTCCAAAAATGGACGTCTTTGTGTCATGTGACCTAAGCCTGATCAATGCGTGAAATGACTGAAGTGGCTTGGTCCCTGGAGGTCACACAAGTCACACCCCTGTCCTTTCTCGGTGTAGACGTACAGTGTGGTCTTTAGGGTGCCAGGGAGCCGACGGCACTGACTGGGATATGCTGGTCCACTTTGGACATTGGCCCCACGTCAGGTTTATATTTTGGGACACAAGCTAAAGGTGAAGCAGCCATGCCCAAGGCGAGACCATCAACAGGAAGGAGACTGGCCCTCCCCAAGCCTGGGAAGGTTTGGCAGAGGCAGCATCCAGGCAGAAGGTGGGAGGCATGCCAGGGCACGGTGGCTCACCCCTTTAATCCCAGCACTTTGGGAGGTTGAGTCGGGCAAATCATTTGAGGTCAGGAGGTCAAGACCAGTCTGGGCAACATGGTAAAATCCTGTCTCTACTAAAAATACAAACATTAGCTGAGCATGGTGGCGTGCACCTATAATCCCAGCAACTTGGGAGGCTGAGGCAGGAGAATCACTTGAACCCGGGAGGCGGAGGTTGCCGTGAAATGAGTTTGCGCCACTGCACTCCAGCCTGGGCAACAAGAGTGAAACTCCATCTCAAAAATAAAAGAGTAAAGACAAAAATGAAAAAGAAGGTGGTGGGGACACACGAGGCTGGGGTGGTGTGGCCACGTTTTGTATTTAGCTACTGGAAGCACCTCGAGCCTCTGGAAGTCTTGACTCCTTCCCAATCTACCATATAAGCAGGCGGGCATGCGTGCCATTCCAGTGCCCTTAAAATAGTAAACCTTTCAGAGTTTCAAAACCTCTTCTCTACCAGTGAAAAAAGATACGAACTTTGATGAAAAAAGGGGCGCTAAAAGCAACCATTTGAAAATAGAAATTGCAGTTCAGAGCCCTAAACTATTCCTTTCGCTGAATTATGATTTCCCTGGACAGCTGGAAGAGGCGTTACTGGAGTGCAGCGGACGCTCGGTTTTCTTCCTGAACCAGCCCTGCGTCTAAAACACTCGCCTGGAAGCATCTTTAAGGTGGATGTTAAAGCACTCACAATAGAACAGCATGGCATCTAACTTTTTTTCTTTTCTTTTTTTTTTTCTTGAGATGGAGTTTTGCTCTTGTTGCCCAGGCTGTTGTACAGTGGCTGATCTCAGCTCACCGCCATCTCCGCCTCCTGGGTTCAGGCCATTCTCCTGCCTCAGCCTCCTGAGCAGCTGGGATTACAGGCATGCACCACCATGCCCAGCCAATTTTGTATTTTTTAGTAGAGACAGGGTTTCTCCATGTTGGTCAGGCTGGTCTCGAACTCCTGTCCTCAGGTGATCCACCCGTGTCGGCCTCCCAAAGTGCTGGGATTACAGGCATGAGCCACCGTGCCCAGCCGGCATTTGACTTCCAAGTTAATATAAGCATTTGACAATAACAGATTCAACATAATCCTAGATAAATTTCAGGCAAGGCAATATAGAGTTTATAGTCTTCATCATTATTTCCATTGGAAATATGCCCTGCAATTAGCAATATGTAAACTCAAAATGTCACTGTCAAGAAACTTCTTTTTCCACCAAAAAAAAAAAAGAAAAAGAAAAAAATGAGTTAAACTTGTATCTCAGCTCTGTAAGCAGAAGGAATTGACTGGAGGGGAAGACCTCTCGACTTATCTGCTGATCTTCTCCTATCTCTGAGCATGACTTTGCTAAAATCAATTGAAAAGCATTTTTAAATGGCATTTTAAGGTCTCATCCAGGCAAACAGGAAACAGAGCTGCAGCAGAAAAGAAGTCTGGACCTGAGTTATTTTTAATCATTGCAATAAAAGAAATCTGGCAAAAGACAATTGGCTTATATTGATTTTGAAAAACATTTTCTATATGAAAGTGCTACAAATACAAATTAGCTTTCTTTGCTCAATATTCATTACTGTTCTATCTGCCTCCAAATAACATGAGTCAAAGTCCCTGTGTACCGCCTGCCTTGCAGATTAGCTCATCAGTGCCCACAATGGCAAACACTGAGGCATGTCTATGAGCAACTGCTACCTCTTTGGCTCCTAACTGGATGTAAAAAGCCAGGATCCTATTGGATAGATACACAGGAATAGATGGACTGCGAACAGACCCCAGGGCTAACTGATATCTTTTCATGCTGAGATAACATCAACAAAAGAACTTCCCTCCCATTCTTTGGCTAAATATAACCCAGAGATTCACCTTCTAAAGTTAAATTTTCTGCAAATGGAAGCCACAATAGATTATTTTTGAAATATAGGCATGATTTTATGCTCTACAGATGGCAAAAATAATATTTTTTGTTCTGAAATTATAATGCAACTTCAGATTGTGGCTTTGTTAAAACTACTTGTAAAACAATTACAAATTGCTTAAAAGAAATGATGGTTCATACATATAAAGTTACAAAATATATGTATGCCGCACAACACATAGAAATTGGGCACTTTTCAAGGATACAGTGTCTTTTTTCCTCCCTCTACTCTCTTCCCGTAGAAATCTGTTATCATGTACAAAAAAAAGAAAATAATATTGAAAAGGTGGGGAGATTCAGCCTTGCCACTGAACTCCTGCGGTGAAACCAAAGAACAATTTTTCTTTTCTTTTTTTCACTAGGAAGTACTTTAAGCATTTTTCTTAGAAAAAAAATTTCCAGAAACTAACACTTCACAACATTTTAACAACAAAGAAAGAGGTTTCAAGAGTTGGGATTCTAGAATATTAGGAAGACACGTTGGCATCCTGCTTCATTACAGATGGATGGCACAGGTCAGAAATGGGAGACTGGCTGTGAAGCCACTATCAGAACCCAGTGGAACGACACTTCCATCCATAGTGTTTCTCTTCCTTCCTGCGGTCCTCCCTGTCCCACAGAAACGCCAGCCACCATACAGAGCCCAGTGGCACGTAGCTTAGCTGCCAGTCTTCCCCCTTGTGTAGGAGAACAATTTTTCCAAAAAAAGAGAATATACATGGGTGAGATGAGAAAGAACTGTCAAAACTAGACTGGGATAGGATTCTATCGGGTCCAACATGGGGCAGACATAGAGATGAAATTAACACAATCCAGCTGGGTGTGGGGGCTCACACCTGCAATCCCAGCACTTTAAGAGGCTGAGGTGGGTGGATCACTTGAGGCAGGAGTTTGAGACCAGCCTGGCCAACATGGTGTAACCCTGTGTCTACTAAAAATACAAAAATTAGCCAGGTGTGGGTGCAGTGCCTATAGTCCCAGTCACCTGGGAGGCCGAGGCAGGGGAATTACTGGAACCCAGGAAACTGAGGTGCAGTGAGCTGAGATCGTGCCACTGCACTCCAGCGTGGGTGACAGGGCAATACGCTTCTCAAAAATAAATAGCTAAATAAATAAAAATAAAACAATCCAGGACCCTGCACAAAATCAAGGAATGATAGTGTGGCACCCAATGAGGGGCGACTTAAGAAATGGGAACATCAACAAGAAAGTTCCAGAGATGATTTTTGTTTTTTTAAACAATTAAATGTATGGAGTAAACACTCAGAATGATGATTTTATTCAGAAGATTCCCCTACCATCCTCTGCCTTGGCAGTTTAATGAGTTAGAAACGGTATTTGTGACGGTGCCTCACATTTGAGCCCCAGGTCATGGAAAAGGTAAACTCAAGATCTGTGCTGCAGAATGGAGGCATTTTTCATACTTTTAAGTTCCTTTAAAACGTCTCAATTCCCAGGGATCTCACATGGGACCAAAAAAAAAAAAAAAAAAAAAAAAAAAACACCAGACATAGAGAACATTTGCAGTTGCATCAGGAAATCTCCAATGAAGGCTCACCTTCATAGAAGCTATTAAAAATGATTGGCTTCCTGGGACATGATCAATCCCTGGAGCCTCTCCTGCAAAGGTAAGAGGGTTAGCACACACACGAGGCAGCCTAGAGGTGAAACCGTGTGCTGAGTGCGTTTTAATATTTTCCAGAAGGGTGGAAACTGTAATAAAAGATGCGGTCTGTGTAGTTTCAGCTGCCGCCACGAAGACTTTCGGAGGTGATCAGACACAGAGCAGTGGGCCATGCGGGAAGAGGGAGGAGTCCTGAGTGTCTCAAAGACAACATGCTCCTACCGCAGACTCTGGGGACAAGTCGGCAGGTAGCTCATTCCAGTTAGGCCAGCACTGACATCCGAACTGACTTTTGAGCTCACCTGTACAGGACTGCATGTGTGACAGCCAGTGAGATCTGTCTTGCTTTCTATATTTTAATTTCCTTTAAAGGAATTTTGATGAGGAAATGCACACAAGGGAAAATGATGCTTTAGGTACTGCCTCATACAACAACTTCAAGAAGCTACTTTTCTTTAACAAGTGCCAAGGCAACGTGGTTAAGTCGGGCCCCAGAGGTGGCGACTCAAAGTGTCCAGGAGAAAACAAAAACCTCGCTGTAAAGCTAACACCTGAAAAGGTAGCTCAGTGCTTGAGAAGCTCATTGATGTGCCATTATAACTGGCATTGCGCTTTTTTTTTTTGAATTTGATAACTGCTTCAAGCAATATTTACTCAAATAGAATTTTTAGAATATAGCTTATAAATAAATATTTCAGTTTAGATAATGTCCTCTTAGCAGAAAGCTTATTAGGAAAAGAGTGTGAAACAAGCATCAGGGGGTTTGAACCCAATGGAGACGCCTTAAACCATAATCACTGCTTCTCCTGGTGAAACTTTCCATGAGGATACACATTTAATTTGTTCATCAGCTTTTTTTTCTCTTTGGTGAAATTTTTACATTTTTTGGTGAAATTTTTACATTTTCTGGTGAAATTCTGCTTTAGAAAGCACCCTAAACTTGGACTAGAAGTACTCATTTGCATTCCGAATATCTTACATATTGTAACAATAAATCAAAATCCTGCAGAAGACATTTTCAAACTTTCCACAATGTGTATCACACAATCAGAAATGTGCAGCACATCAAATTCTTGAAAATGTCAAATCGATATTATACTATCAGAAAGCGGCCAGCACAGAGGCTCATGCCTGTAATCCTGACATTTTAGGAGGCTGAAGCAGGAGAACTACTTGAGGCCAGGGGTTCAAGAGCAGCCTGGGCAACACAGTGAGACCTCATCTCTGCAAAAAATACAAACTAAAAATTTCAGCCAGGTGTGGTGGCATGGGCCCATGGTCTCAGCTACTTGGGAAGCTGAGAGAAGAAGATCACTCGAGCCTAGGAGTTTGAGGCTGCAACGAGCCATGATCATGTCACTGCACTCCATCCAGCCTGGGCAACACAGTGAGACGCCTTTACCAAAGAAAAAAAAATGACACTTAAAAGATGTATTATAATATCACAAACCAACACAGTAATGCCATCCCAAAACATGACCTACATTGATCACGAGGGCCAGGCACTAACAGGGTAGCATGCTGACCTGGTGGGAGCCCACAGGGGTCGTACATTTTACAAAGTAGATACAATGTCAAATTAAGGCTGGTACAAACATCACTAAAAAATAATGACTTGAGCATAAACAAATGCATTTCACATTAAAAGAGATAAAATACAACCATCTTTATTGAAATCCAATCAAACTAATTCCTGAAGGGTCAGCCAGAGATGGGTAGGCAATCATAAACCCAGCTCCCAACACAATGTTTGCGTAAGAGCACCCAGGGGCTGACGTTCACTCACGGGTTACAAACTAACCCTTATTTGGCCCATGTCTATTCACGTGTTGTCCACGATCAGATGCCCTGTGAGTGAGTGTTTCAGAAATCCTGAAACAGAGCTGTCCTGAGCAATGTGACAGGTTTCCCCCCCTCCCCCTGCCACCACACGCAGCTGATCTAGGGCACATGCAAGGCAGCGGGTTTGAATTCAGATGTGCTGTGAGTGTCGAATACACACTGGATTTCAAAGACTTCATACAAAAAAAGGTAAAGTATGTCACTAGTAACTTTCATATTGATGACTTGAGATAATATTTTGGAATACAGTGAGTATGTCGTAGGAAATTTGACCTTGACCAAAGAGAGACATGACCAGCACCCTTAGCTTCTGGGAAATGTCAAATTCAAATTTGATGGCCGGGTGCGGTGGCCCACACCTGTAATCCTAGAACTTTGGGAGGCCAAGGTGGGTGGATCACCTGAGGTCAGGAGTTTGAGACCAGCCCGGCCAACATGGGGAAACCCCATCTCTACTAAAAATAGAAAATTAGCTGGGTGTGGTGGCATATGCCTGCAATCCCAGCCACGCGGGATGCCACAGGAGCATTGCTGGAACCTGGGAGGCAGAGGTCATGGAGAGCCGAGATCGCACCATTGTACTGCAGCCTGGGCAACAAGAGCGAAACTCAGTCTCAAAAAAAAAAAGAAAAGAAAAGAAAATGTGGCAACATTCAGTGACTCATGCCTGTCATTCCAGCACTTTGGGAGGCCGAGGAGGACAGATCACGAGGTCAGGAGTTCAAGACCAGCCAACGAGGCAAAACCCTGTCTCTGCTAAGAAAACAACAACAGCATGTATTCAAAGGTTAATATTTGAAAAGCGAATACTTTGTATTTCTTCATCGAGGACATTTCTAAGTGAAACTGGCTTAAGTGGGTGGCGGTGACTAATCAGCGAGTATTAGCACAGATAATTAGCACAGATGGGAACACTGCCTTCATTAGTGTTAAGGCTACCGCACTTTTACTCATCATTGCATTTTACACCATGAGGAAAGCCAAAAGAAGCCTTTGCATTATCATTTGAAAAAGGCTTGACTTGGTGGAGGCCCTGAAAGAGTCCCAGGGAACCTCAGAGGTCAAGGGACCCCATTTTGTTAATTTTTACCTTTGAAAAACTACCTTAAGAAGGCAGATAGATAGTCCAACAGGCAGGCCGGGCGTGGTGGCTCACGCCTGTAGCCCCAGCACTTTGGGAGGCTGCTGTGGGTGGATCACTTGAGGTCAGGTGTTTAAGCCCAGCCTAGCCAACATGGTGAAACTCCATGTCTACTAAAAATACAAAAATTAGCTGGGCATGGTGGTGCTTGCCTGTAATCCCAGCTACTCAGGAGGCTGAGGCAGGAGAATCGCTTGAACCCGGGGGCTGACATTAGAGTGAGCTGAGACTGCATCACTGCACTCCAGCCTGGGTGACAGAGTGAGACGGTCTCAAAAAAAAAAGTCAGACAGGTACCACAACAAAACTAGAAGCCAGGATGCCTGTTGAGTCCTCTGATTCTGAGATTGACAAGTCACTAAGCTGCACTAGCAAATACAACCTCCATGCTCTGCCCGGGAAAAGTCTGACATAAAGGGTAAGACTCTGTGCAGTCAATGCACGTGCAGCTTCACGTTCACATGTGTCCGGCATCCTGAGCTTTCGGAAGGCACCACGGAGGACTGAGTTCCCCTTTGTCCCAGTGCAGCAGTTGCCAACCCCACCATTCTGCAAATTGAAAGTCTATAAAGAATGGGCAGAGCCTGCACATGATCAGGGCATAAACCCTGTTCCCTGATCCCCCCAACCAACAGGAATAATGCCTGCAAATGATCCGAGCATACGCACTGCGCACAGTGGACGAGCTGGGGGAGCACAGGCACTAGCAACGCTGGTGGAGGAGGCTCAAAGCAGTTCCCACCACGAGACAGCAGCCTTGCCCAGCAGAGGAAACTGACCTTTAGCTATTTTCTTAGTTTTGCAGGCAGCGGCTCTATGGTGCGTTCACATAGCTCCTTACTGAGAACTCAGCTAGGCTCCCACCGGCTCATCATACACCTGCCTTCTAAGTCACCGTGAATACAAAGTCAATAATTGAATTAACTTGTTGATCTACAAACTCCTGACTGTTTAAAGCTCTTCTAATAAACAGCCCAACCCAGGAAATGACCTCTGCCACCTGATAGTTTCTTTTATATATACAAGGTAGCTGCAATATTTATAGTGTAGTTGAGAAATCACCCGATCTGAGAACATAAAAAAAAAAAAAAAAAAAAAAAAACAGGGCCAGGTGCAGTGGCTCACACCTGTAATCCCAGCACTTAGGGAAGCCGAGGCGGGCGGATCATTTGAGGTCAGTAGTTAGAACCAGCCTGATCGACATGGTGAACCCTATCTCTACTAAAATACAAAAAAATTAGCTGGGCGTGGTGGCACATGTGTGTAGTCCCAGCTACTCAGGAGGCTGAAGCCACAGAATCACTTGAACCTGGGAAGTGGAGGTTACAGTGAGCCGTGATCACGCCACTGCACTCCAGACTGGGTGAGAGAGCAAGACTTTGTCTCAAAAAAAAAAAAAAAAAAAAAGAAAGAAGAAGAATAGAAAACAGACATTAAAAGAGTTGGCTACTGGGCTATTTCTGTCATTGAATAACAATATCAAAAACTATCCGGGACGTTCTAGGAGCACCCACACATACGAAATCAACCTATTGGAAACATAATACACCATCGCGGCCACAGCAGGCATTTTCCACGGGAACACTGTCAGCTCTAATAAGACTGCCTTTCAGTTCTCAAATTCTGCAATTCCACCAGCGCAACAATAGTAGTAACCCCAGATAAATACATACCCACTGCACTTGTGCCATTTCCTTCATTGACTCTGTGAAAGCGACAGCAAATCTAGTAAACGAACAAAAATAATACAAACAATTAGGCCAGAGTTCAGTTAAAGGAACTAGGAAACAGCTCCTTGGAACAAATTGCGAGAGACAAGTTAAGACACTACATTTAAAATGCAATCAATCTTTATTACTTGTGGTCATCAGCCATTAGGTTTAATCTCAACTCACATCAAAAAAAAAAAAAAAAGCTGTATGTGCAAGAAGTAAACCAAATGAAGCTCAAAACTTCCTATTTTTTCTTTTCCTTCCACGCAAGTTCAGAGAGGCAGAGATAAAATCAAAAGCAATGAACAAGCAGCTGGCCTCAGCCTGGGAAAGGTTTTCTGTGCATAAGAAGCTATGAAATTACTGGGTCGCACAGGCAGGGTATGAAAAAGAGAAAGAAAAAAGCTGTGAAATTAATTCTAAAGATTAAAAAAAGAAAGCTGTGTTATGTTAAAATTAAAAGACTACTGAAATACCGCAAATATGCAATTGACATGGAAAACACAGGAATATTATCCTTACTCAGGAGTTCTTCAAAATTAGCAAGCAAGTCAGACAGCCCAAGGGAAACAAAAGGGAATGGTAACAATGGGACATTCACAGGAGAGCAAATACAAGGGACCACAAATGGAGGAAAAGTGAATTTCTCAAATAAAACAAATCTAATTAGAATGATAGGAAAGAATCACAACACATATAAGATTGGCAGCTTTAAAAATAAAAATGCCCAGTGTTGACAAAGGTGAGAAAATGAAAGCATACACCTACTTGGTGAATTAAAATGCAAATATTCTTTCTGAAGAGAAATTTGAGAAACTGCAACAATATATTACTATGTTCATATCGTTAGACCTTGCAATTCTACTCTATGAATTCAACCTAAAGATGTAATCAGACAAGTGCACAAAGACGGAAACAGATTGTCCTCTGTGGTGTTGTTTCTAATAAAGATACAAATGTTCAGTCTCCAAGAGTCAGTTACAGAATTTGTGACAGAATTCTATGCAGCCGTTAAAACCATGTTCGGCACCTTAACATTTTCAAGAATGTTCATGATGTTTTGTTAAATGAAACAGGTCGCATGCACACACATAACCAAAGCGGCAGAAAGAAAGGAGAGAAACAGAAAAAAGCACTGAAGGAAATAATGGCTGAAAAGTTCCCAAGTGTGATGAAAAACTTTAATCTACACTAATCCAAGCTCGGCGAATTTCAAGTAAGATAAATACAGAGAGATTTATACCCAGACACATCATGGTCAAAATGCTGAATGCCAAAACAATGAGAAAATCCCGAAAACAACCTAAGAAAATGACTCATCACTTATAAGAAACCACACTGGGCCGGGCGCGGTGGCTCAAGCCTGTAATCCCAGCACTTTGGGAGGCTGAGGCGGGTGGATCACGAGGTCAAGAGATCGAGACCATCCTGGTCAACATGGTGAAACCCCGTCTCAACTAAAAATACAAAAATATTAGCTGGGCATGGTGGCGCGTGCCTGTAATCCCAGCTACTCGGGAGGCTGAGGCAGGAGAATTGCCTGAACCCAGGAGGCAGAGGTTGCCGTGAGCCAAGATCGTGCCATTGCACTTCAGCCCTGGTGACAGAAGGACACTCCATCTCAAAAAAAAGAAAAGAAAAAGAATTTCATGTCCAGCAAAATTATATTTTTCCTGTTTTTTTTTTTTTAATTTTTATGGATACATAACTGTTTTACATATATATCAGGTGCATGTGACATTTTGACATCACATGTGTATGAACAAATCAAGGGTAACTGGACAGCCCAACACCTCAAACATTTATCATTACTTGGTGTTGGGAACACGCCAAACCCTCTCTGATTATTCTGAAATATATAATGAATTACTATCGTCACTTGACTGTGCTTCTAAACACTGGATCTTGCTCCACTATATAGCTGTATTTTTGTACCCATTAACCATCCCTCTTAATCCCCTCTTCCCACTACCCTTCCCAGCATTCCAGGTAAATAAAGGAAGTAGCTTAAAAATAGTGTCATTCCACCCAAATTTTCAAAAATAATAACAATAAAAATATAGTCACAAACACGCAAATACAAGTAATTAAAAGATCACCTAGCAAAAAGCTAGCCGTGGTTAAAGTACACACAAAGTTTAAAAAGAATTAGATAATTTGCTTTTCCCTGGCTTCTTCAGTACTTTTCAAAATCTCTACTGCATTGGGACAGCCATTTTTTTAGTTAGAAAGAAAATTCTGAACAAAACATTTCATAAAATCAGCACTTCCAATCTTTCGAGGCTCCTGTAGATAATACATATTCTCCTGTCTTTCTCCCACGTCGTTATATTCCCCTCTACCCATTATAAAAATGCTATTATTTTCCTTACCTTAAAAATGCCTCTCTTAATCCCACAGTCCCTGCTTCAATTATTGCCCTTTTTCTCTTTTCTCCTTGACAAAAAAAGCCCTAGTGTTACCGTGACTCCACACCTCCAATGCGTCTCTTCTCATTTAAACCACTCCAGGCAGCTCCCCTGACTGCACCGTTGAAACCGCTCTCAAGGTCGCTGATGACCTTCACGTTGGGAAGCTGAATGGTTCAGTCCTCTCAGTCTTCATCTTACTTGGCCTATCCGCAGCAACAGACACATAGGATCTCTCCTTCCTCCTTGAAATGCTGCTCCATCGGTTTCCACCATACCATTTCATTTCATCTAATGGCTACCCAATCTCAGTCTCACTAATTTCTCTCTCTGATTTCTCAAAAATGGAATGCTCCAAGACTCAGCTCTTGACTTTTTTTTTTTTTTTTTGAGACAGTGTTTCGCTCTTGTTACCCAGGCTGGAGTGCAATGGCGTGATCTCGGCTCACCGCAACCTCCGCCTCCTGGGTTCAGGCAATTCTCCTGCCTCAGCCTCCTGGGTAGCTGGGATTACAGGCACGCGCCACCATGCCCAGCTAATTTTTTGTATTTTTAGTAGAGACAGGGTTTCACCGTGTTGACCAGGATGGTCTCGATCTCTTGACCTCATGATCCACCTGCCTCGGCCTCCCAAAGTGCTGGATTACAGGTTTGAGCCACCGCGCCCAGCCTCTTGACTTCTTTTCTCTGCACTTACTCTCCTGGTGATCTTGCCGGATTTCAGTTTTCAACAGCATCTGTATATTGACCAAGAAACTGACCCTCCCCTGACTTGCCCAGACTGCTACCTACCTCCTACCTCCATGCAGATGCCTCATACACACCTTAAGCTTCATCACAATGTCAAATAATAAGAACCACATTTCTAGTGAAGAAATAGATACACATATAGTTGTATATATGTACATACATTTCCAAGCTCTGTCTATTACGAAGGCTTATAAGAAATGATACTGAGTAAGCAATAAGCATGATCTTCATTTCTAAATAACATTCTCTAAAAAGAAAAAAATATAAAGAAACCAGGAGTCCTTTGAGAAAGAGCCACATCCAGAAATAGGACAAGGGAGACAGGAGATGAATCAGAAACATTTTATGATGCCAGAAAGCAGAGAAGTGCTCAGAAAACAATGAAAGCATGTCAAAAGAACGCAGGCATCAGCTCAAAGCATCTCCCACAGGCAAATCTGGGACAATCTAAGCACCCAAATAAACAAAAATAGTAACAGATAACCTACAAAGGAAAATAAAATAAATATCATGAGTCTTTGTGTGTGCGTGTGTGTGTGTGTGTGTGTGTGTGTGTGTGTGTGTGTATGTGTGTATTTTGAGATGGAGTCTCACTCTACCACCCAGGCTGGAGTGCAGTGGTACCATCTCAGGTCACTGTAACCTCTGCCCCCCAGGTTCAAGCAACTCTCCTGCCTCAGCCTCCTGAGTAGCTAGGATTATAGGCACGTGCCACCACGACCAGGTAATTATTTTTTCCTTATTTTTTAGTAGAGATAGAGTTTCACCATGTTGGCCAGGCTAGTCTCAAACTCCTGGGCTCAAGTGATCCACCAAACTCAGCCTCCCAAAGTGCTGTGATTACAGGCATGAGCCACAGCACTCAGCCCTGACGAGTCCATGCTGAATAACAAATAAATAATCAAATAAGTAAATGAGATCAAAGGGGAAAGCCTTCCATGAGGTAGAATTCCAGTTAATAAACAGGATGAAGTGCAAATGGAAAAGCACCATCAGGCAAACACCGAAGGAATAATGACTGCAGAGGAGAACCTGGAATGGACGATTCCTCCCCAGTAGCAGGACCCAGAAACGGCAGGTTCTTCCTCCAGAAGGCTCCCCTTCCCCTGCCTGTGCCTGCCTCCAGCTTTCCTTTCTGCCCCTCTACAACCCTGTCACTAGTCGAGGCACATTCCATCCAGGTCCCCTGGTGAAGGGAGCAGTAAGGAAAGACGGATAGAGAGGAGACCACGCTGGACTTCGCACCAAGACCCTCTTTCAAAGTCCAGGTACCAAGCGGTGCTGACGGGAAGGAGGCTCGAACCCAGCAAGGGTGTTCTGCTGGCCTCAGTTACCAGAAGCTCTCCATTTGCTCCGAAAACTAACAAGAGATGCCGGGAAACTATATCTAGGGGAATAAACTTCATCCTGTGAAAATAAGATAAAAAGGAAAGAAAAGGAGCTAAATAACAATTGCTTGAGCTGGGCACGGTGGCTCACACCTGTAATCACAGCATTTTGGGAGGCTGAGGAGGGTGGATCGCAAGGTCAAGAGGTCAAGACCATCCTGGCCAATATGGTGAAAATACAGTAAGTAGCTGGGTGTGGTGGTGCACGCCTAGTCCCAGCTACCCAGGAGGCTGAGGCAGGAGAATTGCTTGAATCCGGGAGGCAGAGGTTGCAGTGAGCCAAGATCACACCATTGCAATCCAGCCTGGTGAGAGAGAGAGACTTGGTCTCAAAAAAAAAACCCAACCAACCAAACAAACAAAGAAAAACAATTGCCTGACAATGGGCAGTTCAGGGGGGTGTATAAACCTTCCCTTCCTGGGAAACTGAGAAACAAGAATTGAACAATTAGTGGGGCGCAGAGGCT